AATAACGGAACCAGCTAGCCGTTGAGTAAGTGGCATAACTGACTGAATGTATGTATTAACTTGTCTACATGGTTTTACTATCTGTTTCATACATATATATATATATACATACATATATATAATCAATAATAACGGAACCAGCTAGCCGTTGAGTAAGTGGCATAACTGACTGAATGTATGTATTAACTTGTCTACGTGGTTTTACTATCTGTTTGATTTGTGGCAAATTGATAATTGACTGTACTATTAACTGACTATGTGGTTTTACTAACTTTGGAATAAGTTTCATATATTTAATTAGCTAATTGGATGTACTATTTACTGTCTACATGGTTTTACTAGCTGTTGGTTAAGGCATTTTGATAGTTGACTAAATGAATGAACTGTTCAGTGTCTACGTGGTTTTACCAGCTGTTGGTTAAAGCATTTTGATAGTTGACTAAATGAATATACTATTCACTGTCTACGTGGTTATGCTAGTTGTTGGTTTAAGCATTTTGATAGTTGACAAATTAATGAAGTATTCACTGTCTACGTGGTTTTACAGCTGTTGGTTAAAGCATTTTGATAGTTGACTAAATGAATGTACCGACGTGGTTTTACTAGCTGTTGGTTAAAGCATTTTCTCAGTTGACTAAATGAATATACTATTCACTGTCTACGTGGTTTTACAGCTGTTGGTTAAGACATTTTGATAGTTGATTAAATGAATGTACTATTCACTGTCTACGTAGTTATGCTAGTTGTTGGTTTAAGCATTTTGATAGTTGACAAATTAATGAAGTATTCACTGTCTACGTGGTTTTACTAGCTATTGGTTAAAGCATTTTGATAGTTGACTAAATGAATGTACTATTCACTCTCTACGTTGTTTTACTAGCTGTTGCGTAAGACATTTTCACAGTTGACTAAATGAATGTACTATTCACTCTCTACGTTGTTTTACTAGCTGTTGCGTAAGACATTTTCATAGTTGACTAAATGAATGTACTATTCACTCTCTACGTTGTTTTACTAGCTGTTGCGTAAGACATTTTCACAGTTGACTAAATGAATGTATTATTCACTGTCTACGCAGTTATGCTAGCTGTTAGTTAAAGCATTTTGATATTGACTAGATAAATGTACTGTTCACTGTCTACGCAGTTATACTAGATGTTAGTTAAAGCATTTTGATAGTTGACTAGATGAATGTACCTACGTGGTTTTACTAGCTGTTGGTTGAGGCATTTTGATAGTTGAGTAAATGAATGCACTATAAACTGTGTACGTGGTTTTACTAGCTTTTTGTAAAATGGCATATCAGACCCATATGCAGAATGTTCGAAAGGGTGATTCTAATTAGTGAGATCAACACATATTGTGCAAAGCACAATCAGCATGCGAAGCATGCTAATGCTACGGGGTTCTGGAAGCAGGCAACTATTTGAAGCCAAAAAATGCTAATGCTTCATCATAATAATGTAGAAAACGTTAAATATCATAAGCATTTGCGCTATAACTACATAAGCATAAATGTTTTACATCACATCCGGACCCCCTCGAACCCTATGCACGTGCATGTATATTGCTTGATGATTGAATGGATATACTATTAACTGTCTACGTGAATTTACTGGCTGTTTATAAAGTGGCATATTTATAGTTGACTGAATGGATGTACTATTAACTGTCTACGTGAATTTACTAGCTGTTTATGAAGTGGCATATTTATAGTTGACTGAATGGATGTACTACTAATTGTCTACGTGAATTTACTAGCTGTTTATAAAGTGGCATATTTATAGTTGACTGAATGGATGTACTATTAACTGTCTACGTGAATTTACTAGCTGTTTATGAAGTGGCATATTGATAGATGACCGCATGGATGTATTATTAAATGTCTACATGGTTTACTAATTGTTGGTTAAATGGCAACTACACAACTATCAGTTAACTGACTGGATGTACTATTAATTATCTACGTGAATTTACTAGCTGTTTATAAAGTGGCATATTGATAGATGGCTGAATGGATGTACTGGTAAATGTCTACATGGTTTACTAGTTGTCGGTTAAATGGCAACTACACAACTATCAGTTAACTGACTGGGTGTACTGGTAAATGTCTACATGGTTTACTAGCTGTTGGTTAAATGGCAACTACACAACTATCAGTTAACTGACTGGATGTACTATTAATTATCTACGTGAATCTACTAGCTGTTTATAAAGTGGCATATTGATAGATGGCTGAATGGATGTACTGGTAAATGTCTACATGGTTTACTAGTTGTTGGTTAAATGGCAACTACACAACTATCAGTTAACTGACTGGATGTACTATTAAGTGATCGTGATGAATTACATTTTATAAACTTTCATATATCACATCTTTCTCTTATTCTGTATTTCCTTTGCGATGTTAATGTTGGTGATGTATCGGAACAGGAAGCAAGATTTATTGACCTCGTGTGGACACGTGTGTTGTTTAGTTCACAGCATACATGTATCTATATGTTAGTTACAACTTCCTTTGTACTTTTCACTGCCAATACTTCTATATGAAAATCAATAGGCTCTTTGAGGTCAGCGTTTTTTGTTGGTAAAGTCAGTGGTATACTAGCACCATCTGTCGTGAAACATTTTGAAAATATCTTTACCCTATACTTATAGCCCAAAACGCGCACGCTGCATATTTTTACATTTTTAGTATATGACATTGATCATTAAAAAGAGAAAAATGCTCTTTTAATTATTTTTAACATTTCTTTCAATTCTGAGCTTTGTTTTAATTCCATTATAGGGAAACTATTGCACTGACTAATTAATTATTTCTTTAACTACTTTCTCAAACTGTTTCTTTAAACTAATTATTTTTAACATTTCTTTCAATTCTGAGCTTTGTTTTAAATCCACTATAGGGAAACTATTGCACTGACTAATTAATTATTTCTTTAACTACTTTCTCAAACTGTTTCTTTAAACTATTGTAGTTATTATTCAAAATAAATCAAAGTCTAGAGCATTTTGATGATATTTTGTAAAATATATGGGGAAAATTATTCAATAATTATTTTTGGTACAATATATTTCTTCATAATAGCTGAAATATATTATTGTTTCAAAATAACCTTCCACTAATCGACAGCTTAGTAATTTAAGTTAACATACATATGTTTTCTATATCATAATGTGATTTATTTATATATATATTTTGCTTTATTCCTTATGAGTTGGGCTAGGTTGTAGATCGCAAAATCCAAAGTACGAGCCTACAATATGCTGCTGGACTTAGCCAACATTTTAAGCTTGCTAAGTTATAAGAGTGATATGCAATCCCGCTATTCAGCGGGTGCTGCTAACTTGTTACCCTCTCACTGGTCAGCAGAACTAAATTAAGGATGGCTTGTAGTCTATGATCTTTCAGCTTAGCCCACGTACAGCAGAAGCTTACGAGACAAATTAACAATAAATAACACTAGTGTTGCATGTTTCTGTAAAGTTAAAGTGAACAGAATCTGTAAACGCTGTAAAGTGATTTTCTTTATCTAACGAGATATTCGGCTTTAGTATATTCACTCATAGATTTAAATATATGTATTCTCTGATCGGTATATATATATATAGTTTGACGGATTCTTTTAGATTATTCAGTAAAAATAATACAAAATCCAGTCAATTTATTTGTAAATGCGGTATTCATTTCTCCGATAACGTTTTTCAGGCTACGTTCATTGATAGGCCTAACCCATCAATAAAACTTGACAGTCACTTGTTAAATTTCCTCTCGTATATAATTGTCTGATTTACTGACTGATTCAATAACACTTGACAGTCACTTGTTAAATTTCCTCTCGTATATAATTGTCTGATTTACTGACTGATTCAATAAAACTTGACAGTCACTTGTCATATTTCCTCTCGTATATAATTGTCTGATTTACTGACTGATTAAGTAATTTGCTCTTTCAGCACGGAAAAAGAAAAACAACACAAAGTAGCTATTTTTATTCATTAGAAATTACGTTTTTAGGACGGTTAGACATTTATACAAAGGTTATAATAATTATCAGTAATTTTTCATTATTCTAAATTCAGATATGTATAACTAACAGGAAAAATCGAGAAATATTTATTTCTTGGTAAACACATCATAGGATAAATGTCCCAGCTATTGACTGATATTACAACGTCA